TGGCTGTTACGCGGCTGCACCGTGTGTTCGTCCCCGGCCGCGTCCCCATGGGCCGCCGTCTGCGCTCTGCAGGAGCCCGGCGCTGTTCCGGGCCGTGCCCCTCGCTGGGGCAGAGAGAGGGACCCCCTGGGAGCCCCCGCTACAGGCCCTGGCTGCCTCTCCCCTCCCTCGTGCAACAAGCGGTACCAGGTGTTACCCGGGGAGACAGAGCAGGCTCTCTGCGGGGGAATTTCTGGCGTGGGCCAGCAGCCCTCTGTGGGAGGTGCAGCGGGGGGGATTGCTGCAGGGTGCCAGCCCTGTGTTCCGGACTAGGGCTGTGCCGTAGTGCTGGGCCTTCAGAGGCTCTCGATCAGCGTGTCACATCAGCCAGTGCAGGGCCAAACCCGCCCTTTGCTGGGTGTCCCTCGGAAACCTCCAGGCTGCAGCCGCTTCTCCCCCGGCCCACCCCGGTGCGCTGGCACAAAGCCAAGAGATGGAGAAGGGGTTAAATGAGAGCGGTGACACCATCCATCACCTTCAGCACCGCGTCCTTTGCAGAGCAGAGGGGAACCAGTGCTCTGCAGACCCCCCTTCAGCCCCCTCGGGGCCTGAGTTAGGAGCCGGGCCCCAGGCTGCTGCTGGAGGATGTGGGTTCCCTGCACCCAGGCGTGAGGCCAGGTGCTGGCGGGATGGCAAGGGAGGGATCAGCTGCTGGATTGAAAGGGTTGAGTGACTGTCACATTCCTCTTCACAGTGCGGGTGGCCTCTACAGAAAAAGTTTCTAGGGTGACCTGTTTGCTTTGATGTACAGGTAGTTGGAATAGCCCGCACCGCGCTTTGGCAAATCTGTCCTCAGAGGGGCCGTGGGACAGCAGAGAGGCCTCTGCACCAAGGAAGGGGGAGGATCTGGCTGGGAGACTGCCTTTCCTGACCCCGTCGGGATGTTGGAAATGGGATTGAGACGGTTGAAATAGACAAGTACAGCTGCCCTTGGGCACTTCCATCATGGTTTCTGACAGCCTGCAGGACAAGGGAACAGATCTTACACACCAGGCAGAAATGAGAAGAGGCTGCAGTGTGTGAGTCATTGTCTCTTCAAGGCAAATGAGCTGGACTTGTCTGGCCTTGGTCTGTACTCGGAGCAGGTCGTGGAGGCTCCTCACTTCCCGGACGGCAACCACACAACACATCTTCCTGAGCAACAGTGTCCGGCAGGGCGCTGTTGTAGGGCTTTTGGTACGTGTCAGGCCAACTTGGACTAAATCTTTTGATCTGAAGAAGGGCAGAGAGAGAGGGGAAACCTATTTGTGTCTGAGGGCTGTACATGAAGGGAAAATGTGGCCTTTCTGGGGCAGAAAGCCAACTGTCTGTGTCTTTGGTATTTCTTTTTACAAGCAGGCTGAGTGCTGTGGAACTTTTTCAAGACTGCTTGGTCACTTCCAAATACATCTCCGTGTCTCTGGGAGTGGCACATCCCACTTGGGAGTTTTGAGAAAGGAATTTTGGTAGCAGTTGGATAAAACGTGACAGGAAAAAATTACATCACGCAGCACCCTAAGGCATCACTGATCACATTCTCAGCAGGTGTAAACCAGCCTCAGAGGCAATGACTGTGAGGGTGGAGTGCTCCCCTATTGAGGAAAGGGGCTCTTATTTGAAGGTTTTGTAATTGTCTTCCTTGGACTTTCCAGGAGTGCTGGTCCAGAGACTCCACCATGTGAGAGATGAACGAAACATAGCAAAGCTAAAACAGCTGCACCTTCCCTCTTTGCAGGAATGCAAAGAGCACTCCTCTTTATCCTTGTCTTGTCAGCTGCCATGCAGCTTTCCCTTCTGGGACACCCGCACTGATGGGGCACAGACAGCATGTCCCCAGGCTGCTGGGGAAGTGTGGGGTGACCCACTGCTGGGTGCCTCGTGGCAGGGACTGACAGGAAAGCAGGGTGCTCTCGCAAAAATTAAGTCAGAATTTGTATTTTGACCAATTTATACTTGCGGTCTTGAGTTTCCTGGGATTAAAAGCAGCAACTTGGCATTATTGTTCAGCAGAAGCCAGGGGCTCCAGAACCTTTTTGTCTTTATGGCACAGTCCCATGGAGACCTTGGCCAGGATTTGGGGGGTTTAGAGGTGGGACATTATGTTAAGGCATTTACCTGTTCCTCAACTACATGTGTGGTGGCACAGATCACAGGTTTCCTGGTCTTCTCTCCCTGAGTTATGGCTAATTTGCTAGGCAAGGTCTTTGTGCCCTTGGGGAGGCCAAGTCTCTCTCTGCCTCGCGTAGCACCCTGCCTCGGCCGTGCAGCCGCAGGCTCCCAAAGGGACCAGTGGTTTGTGCTATCTTTTCTGAAAAATTTAGGAGGATTTTGGTTTGTTTTAAATTAAGAAAAAATTATTAATAGAGAGCTGGGTTAGAGCAACTGTCCAGGGAAATGCGCCCATATTAGGCAGCCGAAGATGAGAAGAGGAAAACGTGTTTTGCCCTGCCTCTCCCAGTGTTTCTATAAACTAATCTCTCTCTAAGTTGCTCATAATTCTTTTAGGTGACGCAAATTGTGAGCTCTTCCTCTGCATTTGGTCCAGGTCCCCCTTGTTTGAACTGAGACCAGCCCAGCCCACGAGCCAGTTTACAATCCATTAGCATATTTAAAATACAGAATAATCTCTCTTCCAAGTACAGACAGACTCCACAACTGAGCAATGCCTGAGCTGACATGCTGGCAGAGGACTCCTCGACAGCGTGGCCAGCCTCACAGATCTGGGGTGAGCAGTTCTGTTCCACAGCACGGTTCGGTGTTTTGCAAATGCCGCCACCCAAGTGCAGAAGAGAGGGAAATCGGAGCAACAGATGGAAGGTGACCACTGCACCACAATAACAAACAAACTTGTGTGTCTTTTATTGAAATAGTTACAACTGTAGCTCTGGAATCAGTGTTCATGTGTGAGGGAAACGATGGCGGGGGGGTTGTATTATGATTATATACACCTTTCATCATACAAGGGCTACCCCGGTGATCTTGGACACAGAGTGCCACACCTGAGGCTTACACACCCTGTGTATAACAAGTCAAACTCTATATACCTTGGAAAAGGGGCTCTGGGCTTCCCCTGCTCTTCCTTGCCCTGCTATTCGATGGTGTGGATTTGGAGCGCTGGGCCAGCTTCCCGGCACTGACTGTCACAGGCACCTGTCAGAGGTGGCATCTGACACCTACCAGATAATTTTACAGAGGCGGCTTCCCCCTCTGTGCAGGGACTGGACCGTGGCAGGTACCACGCAGCTCCAGCTATGGCTGTTTGCAGACACAGAGCAATTTGCAGGGGGCACTGGCTCCACAAGGACTACCCTTCAGTCACTAGGATTCAGTTGTTTCTCTTGTCCTTCACCCATTCACTGTCAACTGAGTAAAAGGAGTGTCTCTCTGAGTGAAACCACCTTAGAAAACTCTCACGTAACTTTCAAATTAAACATCCTGAACCTTTTAACCTTTGAGACTTTTCCCACTGTTTTCTTAAAGCCTGTCAAACTAATGTGGTGTGCTCAGTTTCTTTCTGGCAGGATCACAACCCTCTATGCAAGTCCTGTTATGGCTGTGGTGCTTCTGAGCGCTGCCTGGGGTGGAATTGCGGGGGTGCTCCGAGAGCCCCCTGCCCACACTTCTTTAGTGGTGCAACACCAGCAGCCTGCGGGCGCACCCCTGCCTGGCACTTCTCCCAGCTCCGCTCTGATGGAGCACACAGGGACACATACTTTGCTGAGCAGGAACTCGCTGCTTCTCTGCAACAGCATCAGCACTGTTGAAGCCTGGACAGTCTCAGCTTATGGGCTGTCTGACAGCCTTCTGGCCAGACGGGCCTTTGCTTCAGCATCCTCCACAACATTCCTGACAACTTCCACAGCTCCTTGACCTCATGCTAAACCAACTCCTGCTCAAGTCCCTTTCAGCATGACTATGGATTTGATTAGTTGCCCCATCCACACCACCTCTGGAAAAGGCCTTCTGAATTGTCACCATCATCTACAGAAATATGATGTCACCTTTTACTAGGGCTAGAAGGACCAGCTACTCCCAGAGTACACCAAAGAAGACAAATGTTCATAGCCCTGCCACAGTGACAGTGCTGAAATCCTTTACAGTGACTGTGGTTCTGTCAAATGCTGCTTTGGGGGAGGCAGGAGAAGAGAGAATCAATGCACAAGTAATTGCACAAAAAAACAATCTTGGGGTTAGAAGGTTACATGTGCCATCTGTCAGTGACAGCAGGGCTTTGGGCTGCATGTGGTGTTTCTGGAACCCAGCCACAAATGGTGACAAATGCAGACTGCGAGCTAGACCACCGGGGAATGAACGGTGAGCAGAGAGAAGCAGCAGTGATGTCTGGGATGGAGGGGACAGGTCTTCCTTGGGATGAATGGGGGTGAGGAACAATTAATAGTGGAGGATTCTGTGCAAGCGTAAAGATTTTTAACTAGTTCAGAGGGAGCATTAGCTGTCTCAGTTCTCCAGTCATACACACACACACCAGCAGCTGACTGGAGAAAATAAAGCAGAGTTTCTCCTTTCCTGCTTTGAAAAGAAAGGGACTCAGACCCTGTACAGGTCAGCTAATTCGCTGACAGAGAGTCTGCTGGCATCCAGCCCACTAGACACCCAGCCAGTGAAGGCTCTTCTGTAGAAAAAGGGTGTAAAGAAAGAACAACCCCCCCACCCCCAGCCAAAATGAATGTTAAATCCCAGCATTACATACACATTAGTGTCACTTTACACTTATTGCCCCATGCAGCCTGCTAGATTCTTCACATCCTGATCAAATCTTACAGAATATTTTCTGCTGCACATACACAAAAAAATATTCAGTTCTCCCACATCCCTCTCCCTAGACAAATGTCTCTTCTGCAAACGCTGCTGTATCACGCTCCTCTGCGGCCACCTCCACCGGCAGCTGGCCCTGGAGCCACTCCACCCTGCTCCGGAGGAGTTCATTCTCTACCGCTTCCACCTCAGCTGTGGGACAGGTCTTGGTTTCATCGTGCTTGAAGTACTCCCTGACGGTGTTTCGAATGGAGGTGGGGAGGATGATACGGATGGTGTGGCTGAACGTGTTGAAGCCCTTGCTCCGGGATGGCGCCTGCGCCATTCCCACTGCCTTGCTCTCCAGCTCCTGGGGAGCGGGTGCACTTTGGGGGCTCTCCTTGTGCTCTGCCTGCAGGGACGGGATCGCTGGTTCATGGTGGTTGCGCCTGGAGGTGGACTGCAGGACAAGGGGGGTATTCTGCCCGTAGAACACGGTCTGGGGGATGTGGACTCGCACAGTCTGCAAGCTCTTGGACGGGCTTTGCTCACCACTGCTGCTGGTGTTTGCCACGGATCTCTCCTCTTCTGCTGGAGACCCCCAAGAGCTTTCTTTATTTGGGGCCACATAAAAAGTTATCTTGGTGCGCTTCAGGCTGTCCTGGCTTGGAGGGCAGGCATCAGCGCTTTTGATGTCCACGTTCTTCGCTGCCTTCTCTCCGTGCTGCTGGAGGCTGATCAGTGGGGATCTTTCGCTGGCCAGGCTGGAACCTGGGAGCTCGGCATTTTGTTCAACCTCCTTGGTACGATCCCGGCTGCTGAGCCCTGGGCCAGGGCCCCCTGTGCAGCTCAGCTGACTCTCCTCTTCCTCCCAGTCCATGTCAGTTAGTGGGCTTCCCACAGCAGCTCCGCTGACGGATGGAAAGCTTTTCCTCTCCCCAGAGCAATGATTGCTCTCCACAGCCTTGGGTTCACGCTCATGGAAACTGTCCAGGTCACACGGATGGATAGGCACAGGGGACGTGAAGGGCTTGTGCCACTCCTTCAAGGACCTTCTGGCAATCTTGGGGGACACAGCGTGAAGCCGGGCAGACGTGCCGAACATGAACGGCAGGGATGAGACGTCTGTGGGACTAATGGCTGATGACTCTGAGCAGTAGGAGAAAGCACTGTCTAAGGAGCTGAGCGAGGAGGCAGACGGGGATGTGGTAGTAGAGGACAGGCTAGAGAAGCTGGACCTGTTGGACAGGCTGGATTTCTGAAGGCTGAGCTTCTTCACCCTAGAGCTGCTCTGAGGCGACTGCCACAAATTCTGCCTGGCCTTATTAACCCCAGGGCTTAGACCTTCATCAATTAACTTCTGGCTCTCCACCTGCAGCTGCTTGAGCCGGTGGATGTAGTCCGTACGGCTGTGCATGATGGTGGCATCGCAGCTGGACTGGCGGGCCACCGGCTCGTGGCTCTGCGCAGGCAGCTGGGAGCTGAGGCAGACACTGGGCTCCGAGGAGCACCGGTCCCTGGCCAGGCTGAGGGAGCGGATTGAACCGAGGGAGCAGAAGGAGCCCTCCTCTTCCAGGAGGTCGTAGCTGTCTGCGCTGGTGTTCTTCTGGGCTTTGCTTTGGTAGCAGGCTGTGATCTCACTGAACAAGTCCCAGTCTTCCTGATCCTCACCAAGTAACAAGCTGCTGGATGGTTCAAAAACGGCATCTACTTCAGGTACCAGGTGGTGCTTTGGTCCTTCTGGGTCACAAGGAGAAAATTCCAGCTCATCAGAGGAATCATCATGCTGAGCCAAGCCTATGCCTGGGGCAGAGAACACAAATTAATTTGTTGCCTATGTCTCCTAGCCCCATGTAGTACCTTGCAACCAAGGTAGGGAAATATAAAGCCTATGGAAAAGCAAAGATGATCCATTATTTTCCCAGGGACCAGAGCAGGACTGGGAACAGCATCAAAAATTCTGGCTTGATGTGAGAAGTGTGGTGATTCATGTAGGATAAAAAGGAATGATTTTATGCATATATAGTTATATTAAATTGATACCTGGAGAAATTGCTAAGCATAGCTAGAAGTAGGATGTGCATCTATATGCTTGAGCAATAGATTAACGAGCTGTATGCCCAAATATGGTCCTAAGATAAATGTGGTTAAGTTTTTGTGCGGTATGCTGTAACGAACAGTGACTACCTCAACAATGGTACAATGAAGAAAGACTATCCAAGAACTGGCCAAGACTGGTTCGAACCTCAGACCCAGGCCAAAGGAACAAGAAGGTGAAAAGTTCGCTTGAGGAAGACCAGCTTTACTTCATCTTGGGATCCCTTGAACGACCACCAGAGAGCACCACGCAGACTCAGAAGAACTTTTTGGCTAATTATAATACGAAGCAGGGAGGGGGGGGGCTAGAAAATTACTAGGTATAAGCTGATTGTGAAATCAAATGAATATGTAAAGCTTTGGGGCATAAATAAGGGAAATGCCATTGTAATAGTTGTGCTTGTCAGTAGAGCGGGAAGAAACTCACTCCCACAGCGCCCAGCGCTGTTTGCTTGAGCCTTATCCAATAAAAATCATTGATTTTTAAAAGATTATATGTCTGGTGAGTAGCCCTATTTATAACATTGATGACCTGAGCTGTCACCACCAGCCTATATTCATAGGATAGTTAACAGAGACAACTGGATCTCTTTCCATTCAACCCTTTGGTTTAGTTTTACAGAACTCCTCTGGAAGGAAAGATGGCTGGGACATGGCATTGCTAAGGCCACACTGTGTTCTTGTGATGGCTGGAAGGGGTTGAACAGCAGGCACAGAGAAAGACAACCACGCTCAGGGACACAGGTGAAATGATGCACCTCAGTGCTCTGCTTTCCCTTCCCTTCCTGCCTGTGCCTGACAGGCAAAGGGAAAACCAAAGCCAATGTTTGCCAGTGTTTTCCCTTGGAAGAGACATGAAGGGAAAGCAAACTCTTTTGCGTTAGGAGTTTATCTGTTAAAACATTTAAAAGATTTTAAACATTTCCGGAAGATAGAGCACCACCAACTTACCCAGAGATTCCTCTGAGTTTTTGGACTTCTTTTTGTCTGGTCTTTGAAACAAGGAAGCAATGTCACCTCCAAAAATCTCCCCTGAGTTTTCAATCAGGAACTGCACTAACAAGGCCACCTGGCAAAGACATGGATTTGCAGAGTCAGTTTCATGAAAATATAGCCAGCTATATAAAGCAAGTCAAATCAGTCCCAGAATGTTCCTTTTCCTGTCACAAAGATGTAATTTCCTACAGAACCTTATGCTCAAGAAGCTGTTAAGACCGTGGCAATGCATCTGTATTAACAGCACCTGGGGCAAGAATCTGAGCTACACGAACTGGTACAGTGAGCAGGTATAGCACGTTCTACAGTTTTCCTTACTGTTGGTAACACCTCATAAACTACAAGCATTCCTCCTCTCCGATGCACTGTCATGTTCATTGCTTTGTCTCTGCAAGATGGCTTCAGACCCAGCTGAAGTGCCAGTGTCTAACTTCAGCTGTACCATCTTTCTTGTGCTCTGCTGGGATGTTCATCTGGTAAAGCAACTGCAGCCTCCCTTTCCACCCTGGATAAACTGAGGGGCTAAATGCCCCTACCAGCACGGGCACAACTGCCCAGGGGAAGGGACGAAGCCCAGATGCCACTCAGCCAGCACTGTCACTGATCTCCTCTCCCAGCACTGTCTTCCTTTCCTTGGTCCACAAAACACAGTGCCCATAAAAACCAGTAAAAGGGAAGACAAGCATGAGGCCAAACCTGCGAAGGATTACCTTCTTTGTAGACCTGCTCTCCTCTTCAGGCCCAGTGGGACTCGGTAGCCACAGCATATTGGGTGCTATGCAAAGAGCCAGGTTGAAAGCATTCATCTGATTCACGCCGGAATTCTGCTCGATGTGATGGAGGACTCCAAAGAGGTGTCTGAGTAAGATGAGGTTGGCCTCTGGGAGCTGGTTGACCAGACTGCTCAGGGAGCGGGAACAAAGGAAAACAGTGCTATTCAAAAAATTCTGCTCTTCAAATATCAGAAGCTGCTTCCCAAAGCTTTTGTCCCTTTCTGCCCTTTTGCAACCAGTTTGAGACATTCACGTTGGATAATAAAGTCAGATCATGTCACTCCCCTCCCTGAGTGGTGTGAGAGCCACAGCTTTACATCCATACTGCCCACCACTCTGGTCACAGAGCCGGAGGGACCAGGGGACTTGTGTCCAGAACACACAGGTACAAGTCCAGAATAACTTCACAAAATAACGATCACCCAAAGGAGATGCACACAGCTCCAGGCCAGCAGCACACAAACGATGCCATTGCCTGTGTCCCATGACGTAGAGACAAGGGAGGAAGGAGGCTCAGGCCAAATGGTAAGGTTCAAAAACTGAGCTGAGCCATTGACAAGAAGAGGTTTGATACACGGCATGTCCCACATGATGCTGATTGATGGCCTATTCTGGCTCAGGGCAGCAGTTTCAAGGCAGTAAAGCTGTTTTCAAGGTCCCAGTCACCATCTTGGCAGGACTTTCTCCTAGCTGCCAATATGACGATTAGCTTTATTTTGTGCACATAAGAAAAAAGTTATCGTTGTTGAGGATCTAATTCCACTAACACTTGATGCCCTCCTGGTGGCTAAATTATTGTGCTGAAAAAGCTGGTTTGCTGGTTCTGGTAATTTGAACTGGTCATCAGAAAAGAATTTTCTAATGACATTTTTTGGGGTCAGAAATGTTAACAATGTTCATAAAAGACCATTGAAAGGAAAATATTCTGACCAGTGACACTGGCAATCAGCAAAAGCTCTGCTGTGACCTGGAGCAGTGCCAGAAGTCTCCCAGATGATGAAGTCTCTGCTTAGGGCCGTATGCTTCCCCTTCTCCCCCTAAAAGAAGCTTTTAGAAAGGCTTTTACAAACCTTTTGATAGCTTCAATCTTATGTGCCCGATTTTCCGTGTCCACAGCTTCCATCCACAGTCTGTGCATGTCTGAGGATAGAACACTGTCAGGTATATTTCGTAGAAAATCCTGAATTAAATATATATATGCAGAGCAGTCTGGTCAGTTTTGAATTCCTTGTTTTGGTTTCATGATGCATATAGTAACTGTTTATTCATATTAAGCACAAGATAAAACAAGACATGACACAAAGATATTTCTCCTCCCCTCCCCACGTCCCCCATGCTGTCCTCCTCAGGGTGGCAGAGAGGGAACAGCCAGCCCGTTCCCTGCCCCTTCTCCAGAACAGAACCGACCTTTGCTGCAGCAGGCAAAGGGCTCCCACCTAAGGGTGCGCACGGTTCTGTTTGGAACACTCGTCAGCCATGAGGATCGCTGGTTCTTTCTCAGGGGACTATTTAACACCTTCTATGTCTTGCACTGGAAAGTGCCTGAATCTCCTCCTAGTCAGTAGCTTTTTTTATTAGGCCAACGAGAGCGAGAGACAGGGATGGTTTTTGATACAGTTCAGGTGCCTGAATTGTTCTGACCAAGTTTAATTGCCAGTGCAAAAGATAAGCTTTTTCTTACTAAACCTTGGGTCTTACTGCAAGCTTCACCCCCCACCCACCACAATGCCTCTGCTGGGGTTTGGCAGCTGTTTTCCCTCTGGCTGATTAGAGGGCGAAGGCTTAGGGTCTAGAGAGTCCAGTTAAGCTGCTTTGAGCATGGTGTTTATGTCTGGGGGGATGCACTTAAATGGCATGAGTGCTACTGTATCTCCCTGCAGCCTTTTCTGTGTGTCCAGAAAGGACAAAGAGCATCTGTGCTGCTGCCACCAAAGGGCTTCATGCTGTGTCCGTGCAGCATCTGAACTGCCGAGTCCAGGCTCTGGCATGTTATCTGGCATGGTGAGATACCTCCTGCATCGATACCATGGTTTTCTTGGAGGTAGACCTATCACCTGCTGGAGGCTGTTTTGTACAGGGAGCTGCTGCAAAATGAAACGCTGGCCTCAGGGCCATGGCACATCTCTGCACGTGCAAACAGGCACCATGGGGTCAGGCAGATCCCCTGTGCACACAGAGGGACCGGGCCATCGGGTGAGAATGTGCCTTGCTGGAAAATGCTTTGTGTTCCCTCCCAAAGCCTCCCGACCCATGAAGACTCATGTTGCTTTCTTAAAGAAGGAAGGTACAGCTAGCCCTGAGAGCTGAGTTACTTGGCCAAACATACCGTGATGACAGCTGCAGCCACAAAGACTGACTCTCCATCCACCTGGACATCATCTCCAGAGTTCAGCTTCTCTTTCAGCTCCTTGCAAGTCTTGGCATTGGCAGAACGTCTGAAAATTCCCCTAGTAGAGGGACCTTCGTGGTACAGCAGGAGCAGCATATCCTAAAAGAAAGCCCAGATGTAATTAGGAGCCCCACACTTTGCCATGTTGTATGTGTGCATTACACCTCACATATTATAACATAATCAGCATATAAGACCTAGTCAGTACTGGGAAGAGGACAGACATACAAGAGATTTATCATGATTTAACCAGGCACAAGAGCCTGTCAGCTAAGCTGCAGGTACAGGCCATGTGGGTGTGCGCATCCTGTGGCAAGCGCGAGTCCAGAGGACTCGTGTAGTGAATGAGGTCGGGCTGTGGAGCATGGCACGCTCCACTGACATTGCCCCTCGCCAGCTTGTCATGACCTGGTTGGAGACGCCTGTTGAAACAGGATGGACATCTGTCTGTGAAGTCATACGGATTACACAGGAGAGGGATGCTCCCACCCTTGTTCCTGAGCTACATCTGAATTACAGGCAAATGACGGTCTTCTTCCCATCCAGTTCTCATAAATACCCCAAGTGGCCTTAAATTCTGGGCTAAACACATCGGGTTTATGTCAGGATGAACAGTCCAGGCTGCTCCGTACCATGATTGGCTTGGGAAGGATCCCGTCAGGACAGACAGAGGACAGAGAGAGGCCAAAGAGCTTCCGCGGGGTGGTGGGCGACTGTGAAGGAGGGCTGCCCGTGGGGGTGCTGGTGCTGCGGCGCAGGGCCCAGTCAATCAAGGACTTCTTCCTCCTGGTGTGTTTCTGCAGTGACTCTGAAAGAAAACACAGACCTTCGTTACACACCTGCACGTCCTCCCTACCGACCAATGAGCTGGCAGAGTTCCCAGCAAAGCAAGGACTTTCTACCATCGCGTGTTTAATTACGACACTCTTAATGGGGACAGTCGGGTCACATACAGCAGGGAAGCCACTCGTTCATCTCTCAACCCTCAGCAAAACTCTTATTCAATCACTGTTCTTCAGGGAACCTCGCTGTCTGTGCAGGGTAAGAACGGCTTGCAACTGAAAGCTAATCAAGGACTGAAAGCTAATTCCGAACATTTGCGCAGACAAATTTGCACATACAACCAGGTATGAGAGCAACTCCGAGACACGTGTATGATGCCAGGAGGAGTCTGGCACGACCATGGAAAGCAGCAAAGTCTCTGCCTGGCCGTAACACACTCCTGCAGCCCCTACCTCTCCTCAGCTGCACTGGAGCTTGAAGCCTGGGTTTCAGGACAAACTGACACTGTTTTTCCTTCGGGAGCTGATCAAGGAAGGAAGTCTCTGTCCCATCAGCCAGGAGGGTATTATTGTTGGTTCCTTGTTGCTGGTCAGCAGAGTCCCGGAGACAGTTCAAAGCGATGCTGAAAGGATGCTCGTGCCCTGTTGAGCAAAGAGGCGTGTAAGGAGCAAGCAAAGACGCAGAGCTGTGTGAAAACAGCTCCAACTCTGGGCAGGAGGAACCGGTCACATCCAATGGCTCCCACTGCAGACCAGCCTCTAAGCAATGCTGCTGAAAACCTCCACCTCTGGCCTGAAGAGGCCAGAGCACTTCTATGCGTATATGATCATTGCTTTACAAATAAGTTCATGCAGTTAAACCTGGCCAGCCACTCTCCAGAGCATTATGCACCAAAGTGCTATTAACTGGGCTTGAGCCCTTATGAATAGGCTTATGGGCCCCACTGCACTAGAAAAAATGGCGGGCGTTGCTCTGTGCAGGAGTTAGCTTACTATGACAGTCTAATACGTATTGGACGGATACAAAAAGGAAGCATGTGCCACGAGCACTGGGAAAACACTAATAAACACCCACAAATAAACATCTGCAGTCTAATGGGCCCCAGAACAACATGGTCTTTGATTAAAAAGATCTCTTTTTAATAAACCAACATGCATAAACTTCCTTGGAGAGCCTGGGGATGTATTTCTCGTGTTGATTAAATGTGGATCCTGAGACCAAAAAAGCCAAGTGACATCTCATATCAGCTTGATGTCACATCTCACATCAGCAACAGTCCCCCTTTTTTAAGTGGAGTGCAATGCTTGAGATGTTTCTTTGCCACACACACAAGTTCCAGTGGTGCTAGAATTGGGAATGGGAAAGGGAGAGCTCTTACCAATGAGAGGGTAAGCAGCGTCATCTTTTCCTGAGATCACCCAGAGGTGGTGTTCACTTGTCCTGCCCTGGCAGTTGAGGAACAGAGAAGAGAAAAATATGAGGTGAAGGGGGCCAGGGTGAGGGTCCACAGGGTCACACTCCACTCAGAAAGGAAGAGACAGCAATAACCGGCTGAGCCGGCCGAGGAGCCAGACGTGCACAGCTGTCCCCAGGACGGCTGCACGGCTGGGAGGGACGGCGCTCTGGATCAGTCTGTCTGGTATGGAGTGGAAGGGGAAAGGCTCGGAAGAAGAAAAGACCGAGAGCCAGCAGGATGTAAACCCACACGATGTTTTCCTGGCAGTCCACCCAGCAGGTGCCTGCTGAGGAAATCCCTCGATACAACAGTTAATGCCTTACTGGTCAGGTGCAGCAAAACTAGACTTCTCCACATGTGCACTGTCCCGTAAAATAGATGTTGCCACCCTCCTGAGCTAAGATCTGTCAGAACGTGCAGCTGCCACTTACAGGAAATCCAAGCTGTAGAAGCATCTTCTTCATCACGCTCTCCGCAGTTTCCACGTTGGACACATTGACCATGGCAGTCTAGAAAGGAAGATAGAGAAAACAGAGAAAGGTAATATGGCATGAAGTTTGGTTGCAGTTTCTTGTAGCTTGAAAATCTGTGGAAAATGTCACTCATCTGTCTGTCGTCTTTACTCCCTGTTCATGGTTAGCAGAGTTGTAGTAATCTGAACTACACTGGAATCCTTGTTAAAGGCGATGGCTATAGATTGCAAAAACTGTTCCCCGCTACTTCTATCACGGGTTTATTATACCAACCAAAGATTTCACCCAGTAGAAATCCCAGGAACTGGGTGGTGCTGATAGTATTGCCACTGTCACTCCGAAGGGTGAACACGGCACAGCGCTAACAAACCATGAGTGTCTGGGGTCGCTCTCTGAGGGAGAAGTCCCCAGGAGGTAAATGTGAGTCACCAAGCTTGGCACGAAGCCTAGAAATGTATGCTATTAATATGAAGAGACTGGCGCACATTCCAGTAAATTAATTCAGAACATACCGGTGACTTATGACCGATAGCCTCAACTTATTGCACTGAAAGTAGGAATGACTGGGCACTGGAGCACAAACCATCACCAACTATGAAGTGAAGCAGAAGGAAAAGAGGAAAGAAGCCAGAGGACAAGAATAATCTTAAGAATTAACTGCTCTTTGGCAAGGGTCTGGCTACCTCCCAATTTCCCAAACCAAAACTCTCTGAGTGTGCTTCCAGGGGGAAGGATGCAGCTGCCCAGATGCACACCCTCTAAAATCTTTTCAGGTGGGGCTTGAATTTTAAACAGAGACAGCAGCAGCGAAGCCCTGCCTTCCCACCTCACCCCACAGACCTCCCTCCCCGTGGCGTGGGTTTGACGAGCAGGTTCTGAGCTGTACTTACAGAAGAACAGTTGTCAGCATCCAGCACAAGGATCTGAAGGGTTACATTCTTCAGATATTCATTCTGTTTTACCTCATTGATATGCCTGAAAGTCAAAGAAAGGAGGACGGAATATAATTTTCCAAAAAAACTTCAGAAAGACCCTAAGATCTGGATCCGAGCGGTCCAAGGAGCCTGGTCCTTGGTACTGTAATAAACACAGATTGATTACGACAGTGACAATAACACGCAATGTTCATAGTGTGGTCATGTGCTCTTACTGGCTTCTTTATCTTCCTTTGAGGCTCCAGACCAGCAAAACCACACATGGCAGCACTTTAAAGCAGATGGGTATGTCTAGCACAACACCTTCCCGCATCCTTAGCATCATTACTGTTCAAAAATTACAAATCAGGAGACTTCTTCCCCTCTCTGGACCTATACAAACACTTCTGCCTGGATGTTCGTGGAAACAACATATAAAAACGTAACATGAAAAAGAAACAGCTGTACCCTCTAGAGGCGACGAAATACAAGCTTTAGGTCAAATCAAAAACCATCTGAAGAATCAGTAACACTTGTGACTTTTCCATAATGATTAGCAAAAGCAGCCTCCAGCTCCAAAGGAAAAAAGGTGCTCCAACAATGTTATCATCTTCTACTGGATTTCATCTTTTCTGGACTGTCAACACCAATTTTGCTTTCACCCAGGGGCTTCTACATTCAGGTTTCTAAGGTGGATTTTTCAAACAGTAGCTAGACACTTAATGTGCTGGCACTCTGAGGGCAGCCTGACACCTAGCATGACAAATTTCCTCCGAGGACTGAAGAGGAACCACCCAGGAGGAGGATGAAAGGAGGGTCACTTACCACAGTAATGCTGACAGCCATCGTTCCTTCACATCAGCTGAGCTGAAGGTAAAAAGGAAGGCAGATCATCAGACAAGTGCTAAGTGGGTAACAGCCTTTGGAAACTCTACCCAGTTTCATTTATATATAGCTGTAAGTCAAAGTTCCTTCCTGCAAAGCCCTGGAACAAAAGCACAGTCCTTTCCTGCTTCTGTCCTATTTTAACAAATAACAAAAATAATAATAGCAAAAAAATCCCAGCAACAAACTGGACTACATTCCCTGCACAGGCTGGCAAGTGTGCAGATAAGGGACAAATATCTCTCTGTGATGTTGGAGTTAACTCATCTTGTGGGCCCTTATTATTTTTCCAGTGACCTTTAATTGCTATTTTCTTTCTCCTAGTATTTCCTTCCCAATGTCTGCTGTTCCTAGAAGCTTCTGCTGCCAGCACGGGTTACCCAGGTCTCAGTGACATGAAGGAAATGGAGCTGCTGTTGAGTTTGGACTAAGACACAAACGGCAGCTCGCACGTCCGAGCATGAGTCCCAAGGCCAGGAACATATCACATGGAAGAGACCACCCTGACCTCTGGAAATGATGAGACAGCAGGTATGAAACCAGGCCATGGTTCCCATTTCTTTTTCCACCAAGGCACCTGCCCCACAGAAGGAAAAGCATCAGGCCAGATCAGCCCTTCCTCGCTGTGCCAGCAGAAGCCCCGAGGACCGAGCGGCCCGTGAAGGCTGCTGAGCTCTGCTTTGCGAAAGAGAGCACGAAGCTGGGAACCCTGAGGGAGTTGGGGCCAGCAGGGACCTGAGCTCCCTGTGGATATACCAGCTCCAGATTCCAGCCAGCCAGGCCAGGCTGAGTGCCAGGTTACAAAAATCTTACCCGCTTTTTGGTGAGCCTCATTAGCTCAGGCACAGCCCTGGGACAGCCTTTGGGATGGCATTTGGCCAGGAACGGGCTGCTCTCTAGCCTGCCCCATGCTGCAGTGCATTTCTGTCTTTGGAGTTAGCAAGGGATTAAGCAAGCTCTGGACTGCGCTGCCTGTGCAGACCCATCTTGAAGAACCTTTCCATCTCAGCCTGCTGCTGTGGGCTCGGGACACCCTGGCAGACAGCCGCAGAAGGAAGGCTTGCCCAGCAGCTGCCCGTGCCACACTAGGGGCGGATAATGGGTTTAATCCTGGCACAAGGCCACCTGGCACGGTTCACTGACATAACCTGTCCTTCGGCATGAAAAATTCCCAAACTAGGGCTCACCTCCTACAGAAAGTGTTGCTGGCAGGTGCTGAAACAACATGCTCCTAAGTTCTACGATGGCTCACGCTGGTTGGCAGTGGCAGCCCTGGCTGTGATGTTCCAGGATGCCCTGCAGCAGGGTTAGCCCTTGCTACAACAACACTTGCAAGGGTTGGTCCACTAGTTTAAAAGGCTCTCAGGTCTGGACTAACCTGCAGGTATCTTTCTAAGATGACTGTCTCCCAACATCTGAGTTTTTGCCACACTGTCTAATGGGAGTGGAAGTCCTCTGCTCAACGGGGAGAAGGGGTGTAGCAGAGTTCAGGGCTCTGCACCCTCAGTCATTATTCTGCTTGACCCATGGGAGACCTGGGCAGCTGCCAGGCTGCAGAGGGTGGTCTGGGGTCTGATGGGATACCTGAAGGTGACAACATAGTTGATGGTAGGCCAGCCGATGACAAACGAATTCTCGGGACCCAGCTTTTTCTCTGTCACTTCACTGAGACAGGTGCCGGTCCACACTTCACTCAGATGTATCTGCTTCTTCAGCTTCAGGCTGCAGGAGGATCTGCAACACAGATTATGGATGGTCACACCACCTTCCAGTCATGCAGATGCAGCGACAGCAACAAGCTCTGCCACCCCCCACCACCGCCAAATAACCGTCTGGGCATGCAGAGGCACTGCAAGAAAGTTTTGCAAGTGGATTCTGGGGTTGATGGCTGCAGCAGGACAGCTGTGGCTCAGAGCCATGCAATTCACTAGAGCCACATGCAGGTAGGTGGTGATAATTAGTCTATGCTAATAACCAAATTCGCCTAGGCTCTTAATTTCTGTGTGGCACAAGTAGCCAGACCAGGAGTCAGTTTTCTGTCCTTACTGCCTCTTGCCATCACGCTGCTTCTCCAAGAAGCCACATAAGGGAAAGGGTAAAACCAATTAGACAATGTTTTCCTTCAGGAAAATTGAGTGAAACATTAATATCAAGAAGAATTTCTGGAGGTGGAAGGGGGAGATGGCACACTTCAGACCCACACTTGTAAAGAACAGTTGTTTTGATGCCCGCTCCACAAATATCTCAGAGCCTAGCTTCAACAGCACACACTGGGGAGGAGGGAGCATGAATTCCTCTTACTTGGACTTGGCGACAACCAGCACATCACTGAACAGGATCAAATGTCTCTCCTGGGTCTGCAGGCCCATGGTTAGCTGTACTCGCTCGTCCAGGATGAAAGTGGAGCCTGGGCTGCTGAACACCCCGCTTGGCAGCCTGTTGTCCGAATGGGACGAGGAAAGGGTAGTTTCCCTGCAGGAGGAAGGAAAACCATTACGACTTTGTCAGCAGCTTTCTCACAAGGGTTTGTGACCGGACACAGGTGATATTTTGAAACAGCCCAATAGCCCTGTGCTTCTTCCAGCGTGGCCCCTACTGCTCTCAGTTATGAACTGCATTTGCCTGCCTCAGTCCAATTAATATTAACAGCCTCAGACAGATGGAAAACTGCCCAAATGCCTACACCAAATCTGGGGAGGTTAAGCTGCTGAAATATTCATTTTTGAGTCACTTCTCACTTGGGTAAAACACTTGTTTCCTGCACGTGCGTGTGAGCTATGACTCGAAACCCCATGTCAGTCCCTGGCTCACGGCACTGCTCAGCCGGCACGGGGAGGGACTGCCACTTCTGCTCACGTTTTCCATCTGTACGGAACATCTTGTCAATGCAAGGGCTGCAGCACAAAGAGAATGAACTGCATGTACTTGTCTGATTCTGGTTTGCCTGGCTGCAATCCAGCATCTTGTTTCTCCTGAGGTGCTGACCATTTCCAAAAACCCCCGATGGTTTCTGCATGTTGACTGCAGTCAACAAGCCATTGTCGGGATCAAACCAAATCCTTTCCCTGTGCTCTCCCCAGCTGAATGAACACGCAATAGTTCTTTGCTGAGCCTTGTTCAGAGACCGTGTTCACGTGCCCGATCCCTGCTGAATTAGCTAACCTCTGAGACATGGCTTGGATTTACGTAGCTAGGAAAATGCCAGAAATCCTCCTGTCTCTACGCACAGACAAAAATTAGTATCTTGCTCGCAGGCAAGAACACACGTGGCAGAGATACTTCCCTCTGCTCCTCAGGGATACTGCTAGTCTGAGGGCAGTCTCTACACAAACAAATGAAAAACTGCATGACCTGTAAGGGCAGTAGTTTTTATAGTCTAACTCAGTTTCCACTGGCCTCAGAACTGGGCCCCTTTGATTTCAGGGGAGGGAGGTTAAAGCTAGCCATTAGCTGCTTTTTAAAAATCATTCCCCAGTCCCAGGAACATCTGCTCTCCCGCAAGCAGAAATACCCTCTTCCCTCCTCACCACTCCACAGCCACCAGCAAGTGAATTCTTGGCTTATGCATCTGTTGCCTCTACGAGCAAGAAGCTAAATCACCTTTAAACTTAATATTAAAAGCTTTCCATGTGTGTGCATTGAGCAGCAGGAGCCACACCATCACAGTCTCAGCAGTGGATTTCCTAAAGCTGGAGAAGTTACACAGCTTTGTAAACACAACAGCAGGACAGCAAAAAACCCTCACCAATACTCTGGTGGCCTAAGCGAAGATGGCATTGTACCAGCCCCCTCCATAGCAATCCATCACAAGAAACGTTTAAAGCTTCCCTCCCTCTGAGGATATTCTCCAGCCAAATAAAGTCAAGAATTTGTTTCTCTTCTTTACTTTTTTTAGTGCCATTTAGAAGGGGGCGGGGTGAATGACAAAGAAGCCACATAACCAAATCAAAATCAGTCCTGCCCTTTATTTGAGATGATCCTACAAGACTGACCCCACATCCTTGTTTCAGAGAAGCAGGATGTACTAGTCACCTATGGTGTGATATAAAAGGGGAGCTCTTCAGGAGGGCTGGTCCAGATTAAATTGTCAATTGGTTCAGCTTTATCATCTCTTTCTCACAAGCTAAAAAAAAAAAATCATACTAAAGAAATCCCTCTGGAAATGTTATTTCTAAGATTGTTATCAGAGCAAGGCAGAAAGGATTGTGGCATCCCCTTATCCATGTCTAGGAGTGACACGGTGCTGCAGAAGAGGGGATGCTGTCGAAGAGGGCTTAGCTCCCACTACAGGACTGAGGAGCTTGGGTCACGGCCAGCACTTGGTATTTCAGCAGATGTGCACATCTGGCATGTTTGTACCCAACTCTATCTGCTGACACTCTCGGTGCTTTACACCTGCAGCAGCAAAGCATCAGCAGAGCGTGGGGACAGCTCTGGAGCCACAGGCAAGAGAGGGTCAAGGTCACCTCTTAAGCCACCCACCCAGGCTGGCAGTGAGGGAAAGCTGCTGTCATCCGACGGGGACACAACCGTCCTGGAGGATGGCCGGATCCGGCGGCTCTCCCACCAAACAGCCCGGGCTGGTGCCACCCTACGCAGTGCTGGCAGGCTGTGGGGACCTCCCAGCGCTGTCCATCCCCAGCGCAGCTGCCAGCCCCTCACCTTAGGAGCTCCTCCTTTCCCTTACTGCTGAGCATGATGCCATTCCAGTAAAAAATAAACTTTTCCATATCTGCCCACAAAAAAAATTGCCCTTGACATTGTTAAATGAATGTGGAAACCAGTTTGATTTCAGTCTGTAGAGGCAGAATGGTGGAAAAAGGTGTCAGGAAGGTATTTCCTCTACCTGGCATGGTACTTTGACTTGCCGAGAGCTTTAGTAATGGCAGAAGGAGTTGATCGTCTTCTTTGGACTATGGGCTTCATCTTCTGCAAGACAAAAAGACATTGCGGTTAGCCTGGCCAGCTGGGGAGCAGATCCACTCATTGCACTCCACAAGCTCTCTTCTTATCTAGTTAACACTCGTGAAATCTCAGCACTGAGAGCCCTGATCTGCGCCGTCAGACACCTCCCTTCCCTTCCTTATTATTAAAACACTTGTCAGCTCTCACATTTATGTGGGACACTTAAACTTTCCTAATTTGAAATGGTTCCAGTTTTCACAGCCAAAATTCAAAGCAATGACATGAAATTAAGCAGAAAAAAAAAAAAAATCACAGGCTGAAGGTCAGGAAAAACTTCCTAACAGTCATGCTGTAGAACAGTTTGTTAAGGAAGGGTATAGAAATCCAATTTAAAACTGGACTGGACAAAGCCACGAACAGCACATAACACCGTCGGGAGCCATATTCTATGGGCGGAAGGAACGGATGAGGCTACCTGGCAAATTTTTCTCTATCTTAATTTTCCATGATTTACAGATTCAGCAAACAGACCATTACTGGGTCCCTCTCCAGGCAGTGTAACCTCGAGACACTTGTATCTTTCTAACAGCCACAGACACGAGGTCCCGTATGACACAGAAATGACGAGATGGTAACGGCGAGACTTGTGACTTAGACACGAAAACCACGCAAATCAGCACATACACACGAGGGTTACAAGTCTCCTTCTATTTGCTAAATAAATTCTGTGCTGGTGAAAGATGACGGATGTTAGCCTGGGAGATGAATCCTTGCATCAATGGCTCCTGCTTAGCAAGCATGGGAAAATTCGTCCCTTGGCTGAGTTCTAATTTCAGCGTTGGCCTGTACGAGAGCTTTAAGTACCGGGAAGTTTGGAGTATGCTGAGAATTATTGATCTTTTGACTTCTGAACGTAATAAAATATGGAACATAGAATCATAGAATCATAGAAT